TCGTGCTAGTTATCTTGCAATACTTTTGTTTACATTTTATTGCAGTTACATGTATCTGTGTTTGTTTGTATACTGCACTGACCTGTACAACTATTGTAAGTTTCTTTGGTATCTTACTTTCCTGTATTAGACGAAGTATTAGTTATTTTTGTCGCTACCGAGTGCTGTATAGTATACGTCTGTCTACACCTGTGTCGACCGCTTACACTGAACAGTGACTAAGTCAGGCCCTTTATATAGGGGACCTGAGATATAGCGAGAGTCCGAACAAAAATGGCGGACACATTCTTTTTACGAAGCGTGTTCAGCTTTAAGACACCCTAAGAGTTGAGTGTTTGTCGCTTACTTTCCATGCAGGGGGAACAATAACCTTACAAAATACCGTACATACACAGCAGACGATTCCAAAATTTTACCTTCTCATATTAAAGAGTTCCTTACAGGTCCGATAAATTTGACTAACAGAAAAAAAAAAATCTTTACCAAATTACATTAGTATTGAATAATTTTACGTATTATGAAATTATAATAGAAATAATAATCATATATATTATTTTTACATTAGTTTATCGTTTTTCTCGCCCTATGTCTGGCGAACTAATAATTTTAAACATTTTCCCCTATCTCTAACAAAATAAAGATATAGAACACATAAGGTAAGAGGTGTGAGAATTCTTAGCGAATAAAATCGGGTGTTAAGTTTCTCTCTAGTATAGGGGAGAAAAAAAAAACCCATATCGTATAAGACTAAGTTTTCCTATACACCCTTGTTAAAAATAAGGCGTATCGTGAAAACAGGGCGTATAGCGAAACCAGGGTCATAAAAGACTGTCCGCTGTTTTGTTTATTGGAAAACCAATATTCCTCATATCCTTTTATTGCAAAACCAGGGTCTCAAAAGACTGTCCGCTGTTTCGTTTATCGGAAAACCAGTATTCCTCATATCCTTTTATAGAACCAGGCGTATAGCGAAAATAGGGCGTATCGTCAAAATAGGGCGTATAAACCAGGTACGAAAAAAACCCCTTTATACTACTTGTGCGATATACATTTCTTACGTTAGAGACAGGCAATACCAGTCTAGATCCGGATTCTGATTTTTTTTTTAATTTATTGTCTAACCTACACATAAAAGTACAAGAAAAACTTAGGTCATATAATGCCAAGATTCTAGACATCTAGCTTTCCTCACAGTTATACCACCTTCCTGGATAATTTCGGCAAGCTCGGAAAAAAATCTTTTCAGAGTATGTCGGAAAGACATGTCAGTTTAAATAGTTTTTATCATCTGAAAATACATATGATCTGAAGTTTCGTGTTTTGTTGTCTATCCTGCACGTAAATGAACAAAAAGTAACAGTTACTCGGGTCTTATAAAACGAAGACTGTTATTTCTAAAACTGTAATGAATACCTAGCTTTTCTAATCTACCTTCATTGATTTTTCCGGCAAGTTCGGAAAACCGCCGCAACCTCGGATATGTTTACCGAGCTTGCCAGAAAGTTCCGAGAAGATGCGATTGCTAAAAAACAGTACCACACTGGAATATTTTAAACTAGTGCTCATTGGTTCTACTGACCTTTTTTTCACCTCCAAATTGAAATTACAGTAGAATACAGAATGCTTAAAGCACAGTTAGGAGTTATGCCATTGCCGACGTGAAGCCCACTCTTAGATTCACCATTCTGAATTATGACCCCCCCCCCCCCCGACTCAACCCCCCAGCTCCAATTAATGTGCCTTTTTATTAATAATTAATCGATTCAGCAAATTTAACAAATGGTTCTGGTATCTTCTGTATTTTATTATGCTACAGCGCTAGCTCACCAATCTTTTTAAAAGATAAGCTTGTTACCTACATAATAATAGTATATTTCACGATTTTTTTTTACATATCATATATGAATATGAATAGGTGTTTATATCGTACGCGTAAAAAATAATTATTCTTTTAACTCTTTATAATCAAAACACTTGCCACTTTTTTCAATTTGTGTACAGATTAAGAACTTACGCCTACTCATGAGGAGGCGTAGATTTAAGCTAAAGTTTAGTCTCGACTAAGTCTCCGCCTTTTTGTGAAACGGAACTTAGTCCGATTTCCGGGTTTAGTCACTGATTTAGTCCGGACTAAGCTTAAGCCTGGTCGTAGGCCTTTTTGAGAAACGGGCCCCTGGGGTGTAGAGATGGGGACTGAGCCCATAAATATTTACTTGCATTTGAGGGTGGTGCCATGTTGGGGTTCATAGGTCAACGGACAGACCTACGGACAAAGCGTAGGTGGTTAGTAAGGAAGGGTTAGGCAATGAAATGCATTTTTATATCCGGGACCATGAATACCCTCTGAGCACAAAATACCCTGTTTTGCCAGAAATCGGCGTCATTGTCTTTTTCTTTCTTAATCTCATCTCAGATTCTCAATTCTCTCTCTCATTATTTTATTCTATTTCTGAGAATCATTATTTTGGACTTTTATTTATTTTTGGGAGTTCAGCCTTCAACTCTTTCTGTTTGGACGGATCCTGTTGTCATTGAAATAAACAGAGTATTGGCTTGTTCAGATCAAAACTATACGATCACTGTGAATTTGGATTTATTAAATAAACTTTGAAATCAACCAAAGTGTCGTCATTGGCTTACAGAAATCTTTCGAAATCAATTGAGGGTCAGTGTCGTATATAGTGAGACTTTCCCCGGAAGACTGGCTATATAGTGAGATATACCCCGGGAAGACTGGCTATATAGTGAGACTTCCCCCCGGAAGATCGACTGGCAATAGAGTGAGACTTCTCCCGGGGAAGTCTCACTATATAGCCAGTCTCTCCCCCCTTTCAAAGCGAGACTTCCCCTCAAATGTAGTTTCCGGAATATTTTATTTCATTGTAAAACAATATTTTTCAGTATATGAAGAAAAGTTCTCCGTTAATTAATAATTAAAACATCTTAATAGCCTTTTAACAGTTTGTTAGCCAAAAATAATTATGGGATGACATGTACATGTATATTGATGTGAGATAACTGAATGAAAGATGTACGTTATTGTTACAAGTATACATCTTTCTTTACTATATTGTATTTATTGCATTCCCCATGAAGGTTAACATAAGCAAATTCCAAGAGTCCACGAGTAATGATCTATCAAATGTTAAATGTATTTCTTTTGATAAGAATCATTTTGGAACAATTCAATTATTTACTGTGCACGATAAATTTTTAATGCGCACTTCTATATTTATTCATACATGTATCTATTTTATAAGATCATTATCAAAATGCAAATATATATACATCGTCGATGTAAATAAAATACTACTGAACATGGAAGGGGGAAGCCTCACTATGGTCGTTTAGTGGGGAAGACTCACTATATAGTAATTCTCTCTCTCCCCCCCCCCCCCCCACCGGGGAGTCTTACCGCTATATATAGCCATATTTCCGGGGGGAAGTCTCACTATGGGGGTTGGAGTCTCACTATTATGACACCAGACTAATTCAAGTTAGCGCATTAAACTTCTTGGCTGTTGTCCGAGTAAGCTGCTGTGATGTAAAGTCAATAGGAACGCTAAGGTTTTACCCATCCTCTTGTATAACAATTGTTTACAAATTTTACGAATACTGCTCTGTGGTTACATTTTTTAAACACATATACAAAAAATATTTGAAATTACTGTTGCAAATGTTTACTGAAAGGCAGCTTGCCTCTACCTTCCCCACATTTTTTTGTTGCAGCATATTCATACCCCCCCCCCCCATGTGTTTTCGATCGAGTCAAAAGTTTAAATCTTCCCTCCCATCCACGAAATAAGAATTTCGAGTTTGAACACCCTCTTTTTTTTTCCTAGTGAAAGATTATTCAGGTAAGTTGTAATTTTTTTTCTGACTACCCCCCCCCCTTTTTGAAAAAAAAGTTCTTCTGCTTGTAATCGCTGAGGAAAAAAAATGTTACATTCCACTGTTTATTCTGTGCCCCCTTTTGAAAAAAAGTTCTTCTGCTTGTAATCGCTGAGGAAAAAAATGTTATTTTCCACTGTTTATTCTGTGACATTAATGAAGCCAAAGAGATGACATTTCAGGCTTTCTGGAAAGCCAAACTTGTCATATATTTATAATGTCATCTCATCCGGGATTTAAAAACTCTCCCGATTTGACTTTGGAATATAGACCTATTTCGGGGTTAGCACTGGTTCTCTGCCCTTGATTCCAGTCGCTGCCGCTAGGAATTACAAGGACAGGTAACCACCGCCGCCATGACAGTGGAAAATCTCACTGCTTTGTCGCGCATAGCAATTGCGCATTCTAAAAATAAATAGCATCCAAGCTTGCGGAGAAGAATGTTAGGTGGATCCAGTGATCTAAATAACAGAATAACAGAGATAACAAAACGTAGCATATCTAAATTGAAGAATAAAACTATGAAAAACGTGGGAAATATTTAAATAACATGACAGTGACTGTATTGACTGAGTATATAGTTTACAAATGTCACAATGAACCCGAGAATGTTCCAATAGTGTTAACGTTGCGATCCTGACTCATAAACACATAAATATACAGTGATTTATGGAGTATGGAGAGGCGAGTTAAAAGCTATCATTCCGTGTAAACTTGAAAACATAAATAAAGTTAAAGAACTTCTAGTGTCGTAGTGGAATCAATGTTTAACACCAATGGGTGAAAGGCAAATATGCAAGTTAATAATCATAGATTTGAGTTATTTAAATAAGGCCTATGATATCGCTTGCCAATGATTTTTAAGGCAGCACTTCGTAACGGTTTTAGATGGGTCAAAATCCGTCTACTTTCTTTGTTATAACAGCAGTGTGGAGTGCAGAAAGAAGGTTTGTTTATAACAGCACTATGGATTTACGCTAGTTTAAATATAGATTTTTATCATCATTGTTGTTTCCTGTGACGCGATAAAATGGCAGTGGTTACCTGTCGTTGGTTTTTTAGGGCGCTCGCGCCTGTTAACCAATGTCAGGGTACCAGTCTATTTCGGGGTAACAAAAAAGAGGTCGCTGGCCTGGTTTTTCACGTGTTTACAAAGTGACAACTGATAAAGAGAGACAGTGAATGACGTGACGGCAAGAAGATGTCAGGAGACGAAAAAACGAGGAGAACCAACTTCATCACGGTATGTTTTTAGTTGCTGACAATCCCTCTTGGCAACGCTAGCGGCAACATCTTATAGCTCGAATTTACTCCAATTACTTTATCACGTGGGTCGGTGGCAGTGCCCCATTGTAATGTCCTTGTTTTACAATGATATTGATTTTCTTTCCTTTTTTTCTATGTAATTATCCCTTTTCCCCTTTTCTGACAACTGAATTATGATATACATATATGAAATGTTTAGATGGTTAATGCAACTGTAAATTTTATATCTGTTAATTGTGACATGAAGCTCATATTCCACTTTTTAACTAAACCAAATTCGCGAAAGTACTAGACGTGTACCTATTGTCCCTGCCTATATATAAATAAAATAATATTAATTAAAGAAAATCTTAAAAAAACACAAAAGTTTAGTAAATTTAAATTTTATTCATTTTCTTCAGTGATTTTTCTACATTTTTTAAAAGGGGCCTGGGCCTTTATAATTGGGAAAAATCAATCGAAATTTGTGCCAACTTGGGAAAAATCAATAAGATTGTAGTTAACTTTAATTTACAGGTAAAATGACATATATAAGTAATTTTAACATAATTTATTCGATTTATTGCTGATAAAATAACAAATTAGACACAGTTCTACATGTACATTAAATTTTATAACTTTCTTATTTTTTTTTAATCTTTAAAATTTGTCAATGATTGTCTTTATTTTTCATCATGGGAAAAAAGCAACTTAAATTGGGAAAAACTTGGTAATGTTTGACAGGGGAAAGGGCCGATATTCGAACCTATATTTGTAGATAGAACGTTCTATCGTTAAAATGATATTGTCCTATGGACCTGGTTTAATGATAGAATTTGTTCCGTGTATTGGCAATGTTGCTATGTTCTATGAACAATCCAGAGAGTTCCGAATGTCATCATGACGTTAAATTTGAAGCGAGGAAAATACATTGAGAATATGAGTTGGATTTTCGTACTTATATGGATTATTTTTTATGTTAAAAGGCATATACAATCTCAAAAAGGTTTGTTATGATTAATTTGGTAGTTATTTTCAGTGAAACGCCTTTTGTATTCTTCAAAATCATTTTGGAGTGGATCCACTCCGATTTGTTACATTGCAAGTATATGGGACATATTCTAACTGTGGTGAGGGCTTGTCCCGAGACACAGTTAGATTATTTTAACTACAATATTTGGTGTAGAAAAATTACTGTTCTTAAACATATTTTTAAAAAAAATAATTGTTATAAAATTTTAGATATGAAAATTAAGGTGACTTTGTTATAATATTCCTCTGATCAGCCAACAATTTTTCAATTATGTTCATAATTTGGTTAAAAAAAAAAATCAAATTTATCAAAATTTAATTAGCCTATGGATTAAAATTTGACAGAAATAGCATTTAACTTTAGATTTTTTTAAGGAATTATAGCACAGGCACTTGTTTCGTATACGGGGCTCCCCCTACTTATTTTTACCACAAAGTACCTAACTCAATTTCAGGCATAGCCGCTTCAAGCTCGTATTTTGTTAATATAGTTATCAAATATTAACCTACTTCAAAATGATATTGTTCACAAATAAGACTTTAGATGGGATACAAAAGTTCCGTTTGGGGTTATAAATGTAGGATAAAACCAGAGACTTCCGAGTATTCCATTTGGAGGTCAAACTGAAAAACCGGGGGGTGGGGGTGGGGGGTATCTGTACCACCCCATGTATCTACCTTTATATGCATGAATCATAAACAGGGCCATCAATCGCTCTGAGCTCTGATTTGGGTCCGATAAAAGGACCCTTCTCAATTGGGAAAACCCCCATGTTTTAATAGATATTATACCCCATGCAACTAGTTGCGGGGGGTATAATGTTTTTGACCCGTCCGTCAGTCAGTCAGTCAGTCAGTCAGTCAGTCAGTCCTGTTTTTTTGTCAGCGCAACTCCTCCTAAACCGCTGCACAGAATTTCGTCAAACTTTGCAGATATTTAGGACACAATCAGTGTAGATGTGCATATTACCAGGAAATTCTGATTCCTTTATTTTTTCTGGGAAATTCGGCACTTTTCAACTTAGATTTTTGGCCATATCTTGAATATAGAGATGAACAGTTGGTCAGCACAACTCCTCCTAAACTGCTGCACAGAATTTCGTCAAACTTTGCAGATATTTAGGACACAATGTGTAGATGTGCATATTACCAGGAAATTCCGATTCCTTTATTTTTTCTGGGAAATTCGGCACTTTTCAACTTAGATTTTTGGCCATATCTTGAATATAGAGATGAACAGTTTGTCAGCACAACTCCTCCTAAACCGCTGCACAGAATTTCGTCAAACTTTGCAGATATTTAGGACACAGTGTGTAGATGTGCATATTACCAGGAAATTCTGATTCCATTATTTTTGCCCTAAGAGTTTTGCCTATTATTGAAGAAACTTTCCAGCTAGGTAATAAGGAAATCCACTGGAATCAGCCTTTGTAATGAGATTTTATGTGAAATATTTTATGACCTTAAAAGACCCCTATTGATTTTGAGATCAAAATATTAATGATTTAACACACACACAAAATCTTGAATCTTGGATAGTTCTCACCTCTTCACCCCCCCCCCCCCCCCTCCCAAAAAAAAAAAAAATTGTGCTTTGCCTTAAGTAATTTCAAAAGTACAGTATATAAACAAATTCATATGACTACATCATAATTTTGTTTCCATCAATTATTTAAATGTGTAAGTTGTCATGTGTTGGACATGGACTTACACTCATTAACAAATCGAAATCGTCGCATGCGTGGCGCAGTGGTTAGAGCGTCTGCTCTAGAGTCGCGAAATAAGGAGTTGATCCTTACGTCGCGGGTTCGAATCCCACTGTGGGACGTGGAGACAGGTCCTTCGGATGAGACTGTATAAACCGAGGTCCCGTGTCGCAGTAGGTGCTGGCACGAAAAAGATCCCTCACTGCTCAATGGCCGTAAGTGCTGAGTATAGGACAAAATTTGCAGCTCTCCACCGGCAAGTGGTGGCGTCTCCATATGAGTGAAAAATTCTCGAGAGGGAAGTTAAACAGCATACAAACAAACAAACAAACAAATCGAAATCACTGAGGAATTTAAATAACAGTTTGTCAGCATAACTCCTGCACTGAATTTCCTTAAACTTTGTAGGTATTTCAGACATAATGTATAGATTTGTATATATTACCAAGAAATTTTGATTCCATTATTTATCTAGAAACTTCAGCCCAATTAAATTTGTAACATACAATGATTTGAATGTCCTTATATGCAAGAAGTTTGATATGATGATTTTTTGCAAGTAATGCCCCTTTTTTTGCCCTGCTATGAATATGGCCTGGACATATAGTGTTTGTCATGTCCATCTTCCGTCCTTCTGTCCTTCCGTCCTTCCGTCTGTCCTTCCGTCACACTTTGCGTGTAGCTCTGTTCAAAGCTCAGTTTCAAAGAAACTATCTAAGATATTTTTATCAAACTTCATATGCTGACAGATATTGATGAGAGCTTTGCAACTGCAGCAACATTTTTTGACCTTGACCTTTCCTTTGACCTTGACCTCACTTTTCTTAAATTAGTGTTTAGCTTAGTTTTAAAGATACCATTCAAGATAGTGTAATCAAACTTCATTTGTTGATATATACTGATGTAAGCTATTCAACTGCATCAACATTTTTTGACCTTGACCTTTCTTTTGACCTTGACATCACTTTTCTTAAACTAGTGTTTAGCTCAGTTTTAATGAAACCATTCAAGATATTTTTAACAAACTTCATATGCTGATACATATTTATGAGAGCTATTCAACTGCTTCAGTATTTTTTTATCTTGACCTTTCCTTTGACCTTGACCTCACTTTTCTTAAATAAGTTTTTAGTTCAGTTTTAAAGATACAATTCAAGATAGTGTTATCAAACTCCATATGCTGATACATACTGATGAGAACCATTCAACTGCATCAACATTTTTTGACCTTGACCTTTCCTTTGATCTTGACCTCACTTTCTTAAATTAGTGTTTAGCTCAGTTTTAAAGAAACCATTCATAATATTTTTATTAAACTTCATATGCTAATACATACTGATGTAACCTTTTCAACTGCATCAACAATTTTCGACCTTGACCTTTCCTTTGACCTTGACTTCACTTTTCTTAAATTAGTGTCAAACTTCATATGCTGATACATACTGATGTAAGCTATTCAAATGCATCAATATTTTTTCACTTTGACCTTTCCTTTGACCTTGACCTCTTTTTTCTCAATTTGTGTTAAAATGTAACAGTTGCATTACTTATATACCTTCGGCGGGGCATTCATGTCCTATGGACATATTTCTAGTTGAATTATACTGCGTATTTAAAATGCACTGTGTCATTCAGTACGTGTTGCATTGTCGAGTTTTGGGGGAGCATGGGGTATGTGAGCTTGCTCACTTTTTCTTTCATTTTAAATCATTGTATGAAAGTTAAATTTCCCAATTTGACCCAAAAATGTCGATAATTTTCCCAATCTATGGGACCCGTACCCTGTACCAAAAAGGGCAGTGACAGCCTTGATAAATAAGACATCAATACAGAATCTGGGTCAGTGAAATATTAAAATGACCATAAAATCCCAAACTGGTAAATATGAATTTTGAATTATGAATTTTTGGTGTTCATCATGTCATAACAGTGACATACTCCAGCATGATAGAGGTCCAAAGAAAGATACTTTTGATTTGGCACCACATAGATAAGGAGCAAAGGGACATTAGCCAAGAGGCTCTTACTTGTAGGAGTTAACAGTGAGGGCTATGTACATGATGTAGACGTATTTTCATATTGCACCTTATTAAGTTAGTCAGTACAGAGCCCTCTGTGTTATGAGTTGATGAATGTCCAAAATTTACAATTCTGTGGTTTATAAAAATACTGATAGCCATTACTTCCTGATTGCTTAAGATAGTTCCTGCATGACTTGTGTTTGCACATATTTTCAGTCAGAACTAAATTACCTGATATTTTAATATGATGATCATTTATCTGTTTATTATTATAAAGTAATAGCGACTTTTTAACCTTTAACCTTTTACAGTTGCCAGACGACACCCCTGGTTACAGACTGGACGAGTTCTGTATCCCTAAACATTATGAAGAGGATTTATCCCGGGTCCTAATTCCAGCAGGTCTAATTAAGGATAGGTCAGTATTCTGGGTCCTAATTCCAGCAGGTCTTATTAAGGATAGGTCAGTATCCCGGGTCCTAATTCCAGCAGGTCTAACTAAGGATAGGTCAGTATAACTAGGGTGATTTATCCTGGGTCCTAATTCCAGCAGGTCTAATTAAAGATAGGTCAGTATTACAAGGAGGATTTATCCTGGGTCCTAATTCCAGCAGGTCTAATTAAGGATAGGTCAGTACCCCAGGTCCTAAGTCCAGCAGGTCTAATTCTAGGGTAGGTCAGTATTCTGGGTCCTAATTCCAGCAGGTCTAATTAAGGATAGGTCAGTATTCTGGGTCCTAATTCCAGAAGGTCTAATTAAGGATAGATCAGTATAACGAGGAGGATTTATCCTGGGTCCTAATACCAGCAGGTCTAATTAAAGATAGATCAGTATAACGAGGAGGATTTATCCTGGGTCCTAATTCCAGCAGGTCTAATTAAAGATAGATCAGTATAACAAGGAGGATTTATCCTGGGTCCTAATTCCAGCAGGTCTAATTAAAGATAGATCAGTATAACAAGGAGGATTTATCCTGGGTCCTAATTCCAGCAGGTCTAATTAAAGATAGGTCAGTATTACAAGGAGGATTTATCCTGGGTCCTAATTCCAGCAGGTCTAATTAAGGATAGGTCAGTATCCTCGGTAGTGGTGTTCCAATCATCGATTATAATCGAAAATCAGTCGATTGCTGGCATAATCCAAGCGCTCGATTACAAAAATTTTATTCCGATTAATCGGGTTATTTATTTTATTTTACAAACATAATAGTTTTTAAGCTGAATATTCCAGCCATGACTTGTCTATTAACTTATTTGTGCATTGTAATGGCGCAGATGAACAGACATTGTATTCATACCTAGGTAACAACGCTCAACTGGATTCTACAAAATGAACGGTGAACCAGCTGGACGAGATAGAACATTCTATCGTTAAAATGACATTGTCCTATGGACTAAGGCTTGTCCCGAGACACAGTTAGATTATTCTAACTACAGCTGGACCACCACAGAAACTGAGAAAGTAGTCATTCGATCGCCCATTCTTACCATAATGATTTAATAAACTAAATTGACAGACTTTGTAAATGTCTGATTTAATTGATAATTAGTTAGTTACAGTAGCCCGATCATCGATTATGAAATTCTTACCGATTCCCATCACTAATCCTCGGTCCTAATTCCAGCAGGTCTAATTAAGGATAGGTCAGTATTACAACCAAGGAGGATTTATCTCAGAACAGGTCCTAATTCCAGCAGGTCTAATTAAGGATAGATCAGTATAAGGAGGAGGATTTATCCCGGGTCCTAATTCTAGCAGACCTGATGAAGGATAGATCAGTGGTACAAACGTTAATATTCTGATAAGAGTGGGCCTAATTATACAAACAATGAGAAAGTTACCTCAAAATCTTATTCAGATAGATCCCTGCTCCTTACTCCAGGTATAAGTGTTATTTTGGACTGTGTATTGAACAAAAAAATTTGATACAATATGATACAATATTTTATTATGTGATATCCAATATATTGGATTCTTTAACAAGTCTATCAAAAAAGTCTTATAAATTATTTAATGCATGAATTTTATAAAAACTAATTGTTTAATAACCCATTTTGAAGTTCTTGTCTCACTGTCATTACATATTACACTTTAAATTCAACCTTTTAATGACTATGAAATCAACATGTTAAAATAAATTTGTCTATGTATTTTGTTATATTTATCTAAGACGTGCTATCTGCTTAATGATTATATCATTATTGATCAATTTTAATTCAAAACAGTGAAAATATAACCTTTTGTGATTGAAATTCCCAACTTTTACACAAAATTATAAGAAAATGTTCCTTTCCGATACGTATTGGAAGTTATTTTTTTAATATGATACATTCTTAAATATCGATACGTATTGATATATCGATATATTGATAGAGCCCTAGTGTTAATGTACATGTGTTGCCATCTTAGTTATATATTCATTGATGAAAACAATCTAAAATTGTAACAGGTTTTCATGTTAACAGTTCACCTGTTTACTTTTCAACATAGAGTGTAACATTTTCAAGAAGGAAAAGGAAACTTTTGAGAGTACAATGTCGATTTGTTAATTATGATCCATCCCCCCCCCCCCCCCCCCCTTTATGCCCCTGTAATTGAAGCTTCATAAAGGTATAGTTTATGCTCTGCAGGGCTAAAAATACTAATTTTTTTTTTCACTGGTCACTCAGGCTATCACCTTGAATTGAATTGATATGTTATTGATGACCCCTTTCTTTTGGTAAGGAAATGTTACCATGGCTACATTTATCTCTATAGTAAACAGTATGATAAGTAAATTAACAGATCAGTCTAACCCTTTGATTGAACTCACTTGAAAATAAACAGCTTTGACATTCAGACAACATTAATTATTATTAGCATTTTTAACCTACTTGTATTTTTATGAATTATAAAGGGATACAAGAGAAGAAAGGAAATAAGTGAACGCACACACACAAACAGTGGAAGGAACAGATTTTTATAATAAATACGTTTTTTCTTTAAGAATTAAGTGACCGGCTTGATATATATATATATATATATATATATATATATATATATATATATATATATATATATATATATATATATATATATATATATATATATATTTTCACTTACAGAATTCGAATTAAGCAACTGGATTGTGACATTGTATTCAGTAGAGCTACTGTCTAAACAGAGACTTCTGGTTTTTTCGTTTGAGCTATTGACTCCTGATATTGTGTTCTGGCTTATGGTGTTTTTATTTAATACAGAATTGAGCGACTAGCTCGTGACATTGTGGAAGATTTTGATGAAGATGGATTGGTGGCTTTATGTGTGTTAAAAGGTGGATACAAATTCTTCACTGACCTTCTGGATAAAATCAAAGGACTCAACAGGAACCTTGGGAGATCCGTCCCTCTCGCTGTGGATTTTATTCGACTTAAAAGCTACGTGGTAGGTCTGTCTATAAGTGTTTGGAAGTACAAATGTATTGTACACAAGGTTAGATGGTGTTTACGTTTATGTATGGGAGTTCACACGCTGTGATTGTTTTTCTGATACAGTGAAACATGTCTAATCCAGATGTTATGTATTTCAAAATTTTGCCTTATACAAGGTTAACTTTAAGTCCCTTTCAGCATATTCAGTTATTTAAAATGATGTCTACTCTGGAATGTTGTCTAATCTGGCAAATTCCTATGGTGTCCAGATTAGACAAGTTTTACTGTATCATCAGATCACTAGGATCACATTTTGATTTGTAAATTTAAACTAAAATTTTGATTTCTAGAACATTTCGGCAATAATGCAAACTTGAACCAAACTGACATCTTGTAAAATGGAAAGGAAAATTAACGGAACACAAATTGAGGCATTTCTTCATTTCCATCAGCCACGCAACAGCCATAACTCATATAAGTTCCACCTTTAAATGACTTTCAAGGACTCGGGCAGTGTAATCTCAGCATAAATAATGTACTTTATATTTGAATTTATTTTAATCCTTGTTTTGAACAGAACAGAGAAAAAGCATGGACTAAAGTAAGGATTTTGTAACCCAGACACTACAAATACTGCACTGATTTGTTGGGGGGGGGGGGGGGGGGTAGATGGGGATGGGGGAAAGTCAGAGGGGTACTTAACTGAAATAATTAAATCTCAGTTGAAATGAGATCTATGACCTGCTTAGGTAGAAAGTATGTGTTTGTGTAGTGACGACACTACTAAATTGAAGAGTACTAGGATCTGTTAGGTTAACTAAATTGGAGATTTTTCTGCTTGATTATCTTACTTAATGATGAATTTCAATGGATCTCACCATTCTGAGAGAATAAGGTTTGTGGCTGCATTGTAGTTTTTTTTTTTGGGGGGGGGGGGGAGGGGGGTGATAGGGGAATAAACTGACCATCTTCCATCAAGAAACAGTGAAATAATGATATACCTGGGAATTAATTGCAATATCTTCAGAGATGTGAATGCATCAAACTGTCAATTTTTAGCTCTACTGGTCAGAGACCAGAAGAGCTTATGCGATAGTAAGGTGTCCGTCGTCCGTCCGTCTGTCTGTCTGTCTGTCTGTCTGTCTGTCTGTCTGTCCGTCTGTCTGTAAACAATTTTTCAAAACGCTACTCCTCCTACAGTTTTGGTCCGATTTTAATATAACTTGGCACACAGGTAGACTACACTAAGATACATAATTTAGTGCATCGGTTTTTGATTTCGATGGACGGTGTTGCCATGGTTACTAAAAATAGAAATTTCCGTGAAATTCCTTTAAAACGCTACTCCTCCTACAGTTTTGGTCCGATTTCAATATAACTTGGCACACAAGTACGCTACACTAAGATACATAATTTAGTGCATCGGTTTTTGGTTTCAATGAACGGTGTTGCCATGGTTACTAAAAATAGAAATTTCTATGAAATTCCTTTAAAACGCTACTCCTCTTACAGTTTTGGTCTGATTCCAATATAACTTGGCACAGAAGTAGACTACAATAAGATACATAATTTAGTGCATCGGTTTTTGATTTCGATGGACGGTGTTGCTATGGTTACTAAAAATAGAAATTTCTGTGAAATTCCTTTAAAACGCTACTCCTCCTACAGTTTTAGTCCGATTTCAATATAACTTGGCACACAAATAGACTACACTTAGATACATAATTTAGTGCATCGGTTTTTGATTTCGATGGACGGTGTTGCCATGGTTACTAAAAATATAAATTTCTTTGAAATTCCTTTAAAACGCTACTCCTCCTACAGTTTTGGTCCGATTTCAATATAACTTGGCACACAAGTAGACTACACTAGGATACATAATTTAGTGCATCAGTTTTTGATTTTGGTGGACGGTGTTGCCATGGTTACTAAAAATAGAAATTTTTGTAAAATTCCCATAAAACATTACTCCTCCTACAATTTTGGTCTGATTTCAATCTAATGTGGCACACAGATAGAATACACTACGATACATAATATGTATTTCTGTTTTTTTTTATTTCGGTGAATGGTGTTGTCATGGTTACTAAAAATAGAAATTTCTGAAATACTTTCAAAACCCTACTCCTCCTGCAGTTTTCGTTTGATTTCAATATAACTTGGCACAGAAGTAGACTACATTAAGATACATAATTCTATTTATTGTTGCATGTTGCAAAGTTTCAAATCCAAGTGCTTCTTTTCTTTTGCTATACGTACAGACCAGTAGAGCTACAGTCTCATCAGAGACTTCTGGTTTCCTATAATTATTATCTTAAGACCTGACACCTGCACTTTATGAACACCCTTTTCCTTACAAAACCTCAGCCAATGCTAGCTCTACACACAAAAAGATCTTGAATAAAATAAATGTCATATCAGTGAACTTATTTCATCTTTTCTTCATGGGTGACTAACCTTAAGTTATTAAGGATGTAGAAATAGATATTTCTTGTTGTGAATGAGTAAATCTCTCAGGGTTTTTTGGGGCTAGACAAGTTCTGATTGACAATAAGTGCAAAAATTGCTCTGTGGATATATGTTCAGATATTGTCAAAGCAAAATAAAATTAGCTGCCCAGGAAATTTAGTTTCCATATTAGAGTGTATAAATTTGATACTAATACATTCTTTTTTTTTTTTTTTTTTTTTAAAAAAGAATCTCTAGGCGATATTGTGTGTGTGTTTTTTTTTTTTTTTTAAAGTTTTTTCATTAACATGTATAAAGATATAGATTAAAAAACAGATTTTACAATGAAATAATTTTTTTTAGGTCAGTTCATATAATTAGGGTAGGTTGAGTAAACATAAACAAATTTGTTTATTAGGCCTTAGTGTCCTATTCTGATTAATTGTATTAATGACCTACTTTTCTATTTTTAGGATGATCAGTCCTCTGGACAGATAGAGGTCATTGGAGGAGATAATCTGAAAAACCTTAAGGGCAAGGTGAGTTGTCAGGGGTTTATCTAGCTATTTTGTTTTACTACCTTTTTTATATACAAAGGGGAAAAATGAGAGCCGCAGGCTTGAGGTGAGGTGAGGAGCTGCATTCTGTGAGCTTCTGAGGGTCATTTCTAAACCTTTAACAAGGGGGAAAACTACATGTTTTAGACAAAATATGAAATAACGAAAGTAAGTTAAAACCAGGTCAGTACTTTTTGTTACTTTTCTCTCTGAATTCCTCATCACAAACCATTTTTCCTGTTTTTCTAGTTTCACTTCTAACATCGTTGTTGTTGTTACCCCACTCTTCGATTCATGTTCTGACTCGCTGACTCAATCTTCACTTTCTTTTAACTCTACGTATCTTTTTTTTTTTTTGGTTGAAGCCTTGAAAAGCTTATCAATTGTTGGCATCCTGACAGCATCTTTTTTACTTATTCTTTTCATTTAAGAGTGTGTTGTGCAACATCATGGACATGGCACATGTTTACCGATCAATATCAGTTAGAAGCTTGAATATGTCTGACTCTCGATCTTATTCTGAAAGCATTTGAATGATGAGGACGGTAAATTAGGATATGCAGTAGAACTTCAATCGGACAAAAACGGAAACTTTACAAATGATGTTTTAAATATTCTTAGTTTAATTGCGGAATTTTCTATATGAAAAAGGGGAATTTTTACATCTTTTTTAAGAGGGGAAAGGTACCGTTTATCGGTAGTAAAAACAGCCTTGATAAATCCCTGGTTGTCTTACCAACAAACATTTAATTTATTACTTGATTAGGCCAAACAAAAAAATATGTGTGGTTTCGGTTACACCTAAAAAAAAAAATTAGGGTAGGTTATTTATTTATTTTTTTTCTTTTTTTCTTTTTTATTTTTTTTACAAAATGATTTTCTAATTTTTTCTAAATAATACCTATCACTGCTTTGCAAGTGGCATTTAGATGTGGCGTGATAATATATTAGTCAACATATAACAGGGTGGTATGGGGCACCCTAGTTAAAAATATCAAACAAATATTTTCAAATCAAAACTAATAAAAACACAGTCTTTTTTTCCTTTTTTTTTTTTTTTTTTGGTAAAAAGAAAAAAGTTCTGAGGTGAACATCCTTTTTTTAAATCCATGTTTATAAATCAAATTAAAGACTTTTATCCAGAGTAATTCTTATTTTATTCTATGATATTTTTAGAACAATAAAATAGAAAATGGGCATAGAGTACTATATGTAGTGCTAAGAGCTGTCAGAGGAAAGTGACACCTGTACTTTGTACAGTACTGTTTAAAACAAAATAAACCACATAAGTAAGGTGACATAGAATCATTCATGTGTGTGAGAATTATAAGTATTTAATATTATTTAAAATTTTAAATTCTTACAAAGAAAACTTTTCGCCTCATTGAAGACTTCATATTTGTACTTCCAAGCTCATTTCTCATACAGGCCTATATTGGCACTATGCAAGTTGACTTTCTTCAGGTAAAGCAGCAGTCTTGTTTGTCACTTTTCCTCATCAACTGTTTTTTTTTTCCATCCTTTAGGTTTAAAAGAAACGATCCTGATATAAATTATTTAATATTATTTAGAAGTTAATCTATCTTACACACTGGGCTAATTCTTGCATATAATCAATGCAATCAAATGATGTTTTCTCAAGTTATCTTTTCCCTAACTCCCAAAGGCATGTTACCTGGCCAGCTTTCTGTGTGCATTCAAGCGAGAAGTGATTTCCTATCCTGACTTCACACCTTTGCGTGTATTAAATAAACAAGGGGGCTAATCAGCATGTGCTGGTTAAACTGAGCAACTATCAGTAAAACTCGCCAATGTTAGGTATATTTATTTAATTTTGGCTAGCAAAAAACAAAATTAAAAAAATCCGTGACGCTGGAAAAAAGACGGAAATCATAGAAAATTCCGGAAAAACTATGAAAATTGCCAAAAAAAAGTTTAGGGTCGGGGGTGTAAAATAGGGACGGTCGGGTAACCGAAACCACACATATTTTTTTATTTGGCCTTAGGTTTAATTGATCCAGAAGTCATTAATCTTAAAAACCTTGTAGAGTTTTTCGCTCGTATTGAGATGTCACCACTTGCACTTAGGGCTTTTAGCAGTGAGGGATATTTTTGATGCCAGTTCCTACTGCAACATAGGACCTTGGTGTATATGGTCTCATCCGAAGGACTGGTCTCTACGTCCCACCGTGGATTAGAACCTGCAATTTAAGGATCAATTCCTTACTCCGTGATGCTAGAGCAAATGCTCTGATTACTGTGCTGTGCAGGGGCTACTGAATTAGTGTTATTGTTAAAATGAAAAAAAAAATATACTTTTGAGTCAAAAATTATTTCAATTTAAGAAAATCCAAAGTGTGTCTCCTGTCCAGTAAACATTTAATTCAAAGCTTGGATTATTACAGTAAAACATGGTTATGTTGAACATGTTTGAAATGAATTTGTACTTAAAGTGAAGTGATTTCATCCCCCCTAGTTTTAAAACTTATTATGAACTTATTGGATACAAAAAAATTACATTTATTAAGAACCAAAATTATGTGTCCATTGCCCTACAATATAAATGTTTTTGACTGTACATGTATAACAAATTTTGACAGATTGAAGTCATAAAATTGCAAGAATTATTCAAGAGAAATATCTTGGAAAGATTATTTCACCTCTAGAAATTACTAAATTAAAATTAAATGACTTCAACAATTCACTGATTCAGGTTGAAGACTAACTGTTGATTAGGTTAGCTATCCTATAATTAAGGACTCAAGACTAAAAATCATGCAATTATTGACTCTCTAGATGGTTAATTGGGTTTGCTATTTCCCAGAAAAATATCAATATTGACCGATGCTAAGCCGAGGTCAATTTTGTTGTTGTTTTTTTTTTTTTTTTACATCAAACCATGGTAACCACCAAAAACAGTCCATACCTGTGTTATTTTGTAGTCCATTATGTAATAAATAAGACAACTGAAGCATGCATGATGACTCCATTTTTTATTAATGAACTGTTTCTCTATAAATTAAGATAAAGAAAATGTCCAGATTACTAGTTATAACCTCTACGTTCTCCTCTTGTAATGTGTAAGATATTACTTCATGTCCAAATAATGAGACAGTAATCCTGCTCAGATGCACAACTGGCTTCAAATGTTGCAACTATTGTTTACAAGTAATTTAAAGTATCATTTGTAACATGGTCATTGCTGTTGCACTTGCACTGACCCTATAAGAGAATACATCTTTAAACATGGTTGATAAGTAGTTTTATGAACATTTGCATTTGTATAGAATATAAAGCTTTTATAGATAGACTATTTGATAGATAAAGTTCTAGAAATTTTGCCATTGTTTTCAGAATGTTTTGGTTGTGGAGGATATTATAGACACAGGGAAAACCATGCAGAAGTTACTGGCTCTGTTACAGAATGTCAAACCCAAGTGTATAAAAGTAGCCAGGTATGTTATGGAAAACCCAAGTGTATCAAAGACGCCATGTAAGAAAAATGAAACCCAAGAGTATAAAAGTAGCCATGTAAGAAATATGAAACTCAAGTGTATAAAAGTAGCCATGTAAGAAATATGAAACCCAAGAGTATAAAAGTAACCATGTAAGAAAAATGAAACCCAAGTGTTTAAAAGTAGCCATGTAAGAAATATAAAACCCAAGTGTTTAAAAGAAGCCATGTAAGAAATATGAAACCCAAGAGTATAAAAAAAGCCATGTAAGAAATATGAAACTCAAGTGTTTAAAAGTAGCCATGTAAGAAATATAAAACTCAAGAGTATAAAAGTAGCCATGTAAGAAATATGAAACTCAAGTGTATAAAAGTAGCCATGTAAGAAATGTGAAACCCAAGTGTTTAAAAGTAGCCATGTAAGAAATATAAAACTCAAGAGTATAAAAGTAGCCATGTAAGAAATATGAAACTCAATTGTATAAAAGTAGCAGTAGCCATGAAAGAAATGTGAAACTCAAGTGTATAAAAGTAGCCATGTAAGAAATGTGAAACCCAAGTGTTTAAAAGTAGCCATGTAAGAAATATAAAACTCAAGTGTATAAAAGTAGCCAGGTAAGAAATATGACACTCAAGTGTATAAAAGTAGCCATGTAAGAAATGTGAAACCCAAGTGTATAAAAGTAGCCATGTAAGAAATATAAAACTCAAGAGTATAAAAGTAGCCATGTAAGAAATATGAAACTCAAGTGTATAAAAGTAGCAGTAGCCATGTAAGAAATGTGAAACTCAAGTGTATAAAAGTAGCCATGTAAGAAATATAAAACTCAAGAGTATAAAAGTAGCCATGTAAGAAATATGAAACTCAAGTGTTTAAAAGAAGCCATGTAAGAAATATGAAACCCAAGAGTATAAAAAAAGCCATGTAAGAAATATGAAACTCAAGTGTTTAAAAGTAGCCATGTAAGAAATATAAAACTCAAGAGTATAAAAGTAGCCATGTAAGAAATATGAAACTCAAGTGTATAAAAGTAGCCATGTAAGAAATGTGAAACCCAAGTGTTTAAAAGTAGCCATGTAAGAAATATAAAACTCAAGAGTATAAAAGTAGCCATGTAAGAAATATGAAACTCAATTGTATAAAAGTAGCAGTAGCCATGAAAGAAATGTGAAACTCAAGTGTATAAAAGTAGCCATGTAAGAAATGTGAAACCCAAGTGTTTAAAAGTAGCCATGTAAGAAATATAAAACTCAAGTGTATAAAAGTAGCCAGGTAAGAAATATGACACTCAAGTGTATAAAAGTAGCCATGTAAGAAATGTGAAACCCAAGTGTATAAAAGTAGCCATGTAAGAAATATAAAACTCAAGAGTATAAAAGTAGCCATGTAAGAAATATGAAACTCAAGTGTATAAAAGTAGCAGTAGCCATGTAAGAAATGTGAAACTCAAGTGTATAAAAGTAGCCATGTAAGAAATATAAAACTCAAGAGTATAAAAGTAGCCATGTAAGAAATATGAAACTCAAGTGTATAAAAGTAGCCATGTAAGAAATATAAAACCCAAGTGTATAAAAGTAGCCATGTAAGAAATATAAAACTCAAGAATATAAAAGTAGCCATGTAAGAAATATGAAACTCAAGTGTATAAAAGTAGCCATGTAAGAAATGTGAAACCCAAGTGTTTAAAATTAGCCATGTAAGAAATGTGAAACTCAAGTGTATAAAAGTAGCCAAGTAAGAAATATGAAACCCAAGTGTTTAAAAGTAGCCATGTAAGAAATATGAAACCCAAGTGTTTAAAAGAAGCCATGTAAGAAATATGAAACCCAAGAGTATAAAACAAGCCATGTAAGAAATATGAAACCCAAGTGTTTAAAAGTAGCCATGTAAGAAATATGAAACCCAAGTTTTAAAAGTAGCCAGGTAAGAAATATGAAACCCAAGAGTATAAAAGTAGCCATGTAAGAAATATGAAACCCAAGAGTATAAAAGTAGCCATGTAAGAAATATGAAACTCAAGTGTATAAAAGTAGCCAGGTAAGAAATATGAAACTCAAGTGTATAAAAGTAGGCATGTAAGAAATATGAAACCCAAGAGTATAAAAAGTAGCCATGTAAGAAATATGAAACCCAAGAGTATAAAAGTAGCCATGTAAGAAATATGAAACTCAAGTGTATAAAAGTAGCCATGTAAGAAATATGAAACCCAAAAGTATAAAAGTAGCCATGTAAGAAATATAAAACTCAAGAGTATAAAAAGTAGCCATGTAAGAAATATGAAACTCAAGTGTATAAAAGTAGCCATGTAAGAAATGTGAAACCCAAGTGTTTAAAAGTAGCCATGTAAGAAATATGAAACTCAAGTGTATAAAAGTAGCCATGTAAGAAATATAAAACTCAAGAGTATAAAAGTAGCCATGTAAGAAATATGAAACCCAAGTGTATAAAAGTAGCCATGTAAGAAATATGAAACTCAAGTGTATAAAAGTAGCCATGTAAGAAATATAAAACTCAAGAGTATAAAAGTAGCCATGTAAGAAATATGAAACCCAAGTGTATAAAAGTAGCCATGTAAGAAATATAAAACTCAAGAGTATAAAAAGTAGCCATGTAAGAAATATGAAACTCAAGTGTATAAAAGTAGCCATGTAAGAAAAATGAAACCCAAGTGTATAAAAGTAGCCTTGTAAGAAATATGAAACTCAAGTGGATAAAAGTAGCCATGTAAGAAATATAAAACTCAAGAATATAAAAGTAGCCATGTAAGAAATATGAAACTCAAGTGTATAAAAGTAGCCATGTAAGAAATATGAAACTCAAGTGTATAAAAGTAGCCATGTAAGAAAAATGAAACCCAAGTGTATAAAAGTAGCCATGTAAGAAATATGACACTCAAGTGTATAAAAGTAGCCATGTAAGAAATATGAAACTCAAGTGTATAAAAGTAGCCAGGTAAGAAATATGAAACCCAAATGTATAAAAGTAGCCATGTAAGAAATATGAAACCCAAGTGTATAAAAGTAGCCATGTAAGAAATATGAAACCCAAAAGTAGCCATGTAAGAAAAATGAAACCCAAGTGTTTAAAAGTAGCCATGTAAGAAATATGAAACCCAAGTGTTTAAAAGAAGCCATGTAAGAAATATGAAACCCAAGAGTATAAAACAAGCCATGTAAGAAATATGAAACCCAAGTGTTTAAAAGTAGCCATGTAAGAAATATAAAACTCAAGTGTATAAAAGTAGCCATGTAAGAAATATGAAACTCAAGTGTATAAAAGTAGCCATGTAAGAAATATGAAACCCAAGAGTATAAAAAGTAGCCATGTAAGAAATATGAAACTCAAGTGTATAAAAGTAGCCATGTAAGAAATATGAAACCCAAAAGTATAAAAGTAGCCATGTAAGAAATATAAAACTCAAGAGTATAAAAAGTAGCCATGTAAGAAATATGAAACTCAAGAGTATAAAAGTAGGCATGTAAGAAATATGAAACTCAAGTGTATAAAAGTAACTGTGTAAGAAATATAAAACTCAAGAGTATAAAAAGAAGCCATGTAAGAAATATGAAACCCAAGAGTATAAAAGGAGGCATGTAAGAAATATGAAACTCAAGTGTATAAAGGTAGCCATGTAAGAAAAATGAAACCCAAGAGTATAAAAGTAGCCATGTAAGAAATATGAAACTCAAGTGTATAAAAGTAGCCATGTAAGAAATATGAAACTCAAGTGTATAAAAGTAGCCATGTAAGAAATATGAAACTCAAGTGTATAAAAGTAGCCATGTAAGAAATATGAAACTCAAGTGTATAAAAGTAGCCATGTAAGAAATATGAAACCCAAGTGTATAAAAGTAGCCAGGTAAGAAATATGAAACTCAAGTGTATAAAAGTAGCCATGTAAGAAATATGAAACCCAAAAGTAGCCATGTAAGAAATATGAAACTCAAGTGTATAAAAGTAGCCATGTAAGAAATATGTACACTTGAGTTTCATATTTCTTAGCCATGTAAGAAATATGAAACCCAAGTGTTTAAAAGAAGCCAAGTGTGAAATATGAAACCAGAGTGTATAAAAGTAGCCAGGTATGAAATGTTACAAAATGTAAAACAGGGTTGACTTGAAAATAACATTTTAAACCTTATTTTAAATTATATATTTCTATCGTAAAATTACAGGAAGTGTACTTTACCAACGTTGAAAGTTCATATCGTGAAATATTTTAACCCACAGTAGCAGAAAAAAATCAGAAATTGTCTTCTATATTCTCATTTCAGGAGGAAAGTTATTGAATAGCTGCTAATTGTGTATAATACATAGTGTATCAATAGGATTTAATAGGATATGGACGAAAACCTGCTACTCTTGATACATAAAAAAAAAATGTAATAGATGTTGAAGGAATTTTCATACTTTTAAGGAATATGAAGATAACGAACAGTATTGAATCTTGAAAGTCCAATGAAACATTACAATTTGGAGTAGAGTAAACACAGACCTCAAAATTTAGAGGTGGGAACAGGTGCCCTGGAGGAGCATATCATCCACATGGTTCTTGGTCTTCAAAATGTTTTATAGGTAGAAAGCAGTGAAATGAGAGTGTATTTAATAGTAGAACCAAATCAAGATCTGGTTCTGGAAAAGGTCCGATAAAATGCTTACTCACCATATGGGCAATAACATCCTCAATAATCAGTCGCTCACAGGCTTACTCTGTTATGGAACATGAAACTAACATGATAGGTTATTATATAAAAAAGGACAACACATAACATCCTTCATCAGGTATTTATTGTCATGTGTTGAAGCTCTGAAGTTCCTTTAATGATATAAACGTCTTGTTTATTTGATTGTAATTATTAAATTTAATATTTTTAATATCAGTATGAAGCTCCAAAGTTTTTAGATGATGATGATTGTTTATGAGATTTTAATTTTTGAATATTTTATTTTCAGTATGCTTGTGAAGAGAACAACAAGGAGTTCTGGATATAAACCTGATTGTAAGTACAGGTAACTTTTGATGGCTCAAACTTCGATCTCTCGAAGTTCTTGATTGCTCGAAGTGAATCTTTGGTCCCAAATTTTTCCCCTATATAACTAAGCAAATTTACTCTTGATTTCTCGAACTCTTGATCTCTCAAAACCCTTGATCCCTCAAGTCAAAATGCAGTCAGGCTATGCATATTCTGTTATAATTTACCCTCGCTACCTCGAAGTGGCTTTGTGTATACAAGATTATATAATTAGCACCTTTACCTGGACATTTAAATGGTCCCAGGCAGAAGACACGGGTCTTGAGGAACGGGATGTTTATTCAGGTGACACTTATGCTGCAAGGTGATAATTGATTTATAATTAATCATTTTTTGCCTATATGCTATTAAAATAAATATCATCGACTGTCTTACGATAATTTAGAGACGCAGTGTCAGTGAAAAGTAGTAATTGATTAAAAGACAAAACACTAATTTAATTTTTATTTCGAGTCAGTGTCAAAGTTACACGAAATATGATAAAGCAGAAACAGCCTCAATGTCAATATGACGACTATTATTGGACAAATATTTGCAGAACTGCGTTCAATGATCATGTTTGGAATAGTCAATGCTATACATGTACGACGCTGTAAAATATTGTTTTCGTGTAACGAATGCGTAGTATGATGTCCGTATTACAAAACTAAATAAATATACATTAAATGATGATATACATTTTTTGCTTTACTCAGTTTAATGAAATATTCATCTTAATTACGAAAAAATATCATTGGTTTATAAAACCACATGTAAAAGGTTATCACTGCGTGAAAATCATTATATACGGTAAGACTATTTTTAAAACCTGTAAACAAACCCGGAAAATTCCGGACTCTTGAAAACTCGAACTCTTGATCTCTCGAAGATTTTCCTCGGTCCCACGGACTTTGAGGTATCTCGAGTTACCTGTTCATGTCATGTGACTGATCATGTGATGTCATGTAATCTGGTCATATGACTGGTCATGTGATGTCATGTGATCTGGTCATGTGCTTAATGTGGTAATAGACTTTTAATTATCAAACATCTTATCACTGTATCATTTTTGTTCAGATTAACTACAATTTATTATAAGTCCACATAGAAACATATATAATATTATGTCTTTATATACATGTCTAAGCATATTTGTATATTTCCGTAATGCTATTAAATATTGTTGCTTTGAAAAATGCAGTCTAAATTTTAATATTTAAAGAATGCATTTAATAGCTACCCAAATGGGTTGGGGCAGTTTACAGTTTATGAACTGTGAAGTGGTTTATAAAAAAGCGTAAAATGCTCCAACCCAGTTTATAACATATAAATTGGGTACATATTAAATTCATTGCTAATTATGATCTAATTTTCTTTCATTCATTGTAAGAAAAGACAAATAATGTCCCTAAAAATGACTTCAAATTCTGCAAAATTTAAGTGTGACATTAGGGGGATCAATATGTTTATGATGCATGTTGTGACTTTGGCAACACAGTTTATAAAATATAAAGGATCTCCTATGGTTTGTGGTTGGATATGATTTTTAATCCAACAAGTTGTGTGTTTTTATCCCGAAGCCTTGGCAAATGAAATCTTCCATGAAATCCCTATTAATTTCATTGTGCTGTTTGTTTAAATTTCAGATACTGGGTTTGAAATCCCTGATATTTTCATTGTGGGGTATGCCTTAGATTACAACGAATACTTCAGAGATCTTAATGTAAGTAATGATATTTAGCTAGCACTGAGGAAATTTTTGGACCTTCTTTTAATGAAAATATTATAGTTAATGTATCTGTAAAATCTGTCTATTTTTACATACTCTGGAAGACATTTTGTGTTGTAATAGGCAGAGTGTCAGATTGTATTTAAGAGATGAATTTAATTTTCTTATTACTTGCCACATATTTTTGTCATTCAGCGATCATTTTTGAAAAAAAAAAGTTTGCATTATTTTTTTACTTCAATCATATCACAATGGAAATATTCTTACTCATCCCGCAGTAGTTCATGAGAACATGAACTTTTTCTAATTTGCAAAAAATCTTAAGGAAAAATATTTGGAAATGTAAATATAGTGTAATGAACATGGAAAATAGTAAAATAGGAATGGAAATAAAGGTTGGAATAAATTAACTGTAAAACAGATTGCACAGGTGTCTGATTAGACAGTTTTCACTGGATGAAACCAACAGAATTATTATGACATGTATGTTTTGTTTATAACTACATTGAGGAGATTTTTTAATCAAATTTGGAAGTACACAACTGTTGCAGTTCTCTTTCTTTGAATTTAAATATCATATTTAAAGTAGATGTTTAGGAATCTGACCTTAAACAGATGCATTTGAATGTACATGAATTAGTATTTTACGTTTTAATTCTTTAAAAGTAATAAAAATTATGCATTTCTCTTTTTTATAGCATGTTTGTGAAATTAATGAGGCAGGCAAGAAGAAATATGCGTCAAAATAACGACAACCTTATTGTGTTAATGACTGATGATATTACAGCCTGGAACTGTTATCTACATTAGCAAATGTTAGCTTAAATAACAATGGTTATACAGAGATTACGTGCTGGATTAACAGTAATTATCTGAGATTACAAAGTGTTATAATGCTGGAAAATCAGAATGAATTAAGATTCTTTTTCATTGTACTGTTTATGGCTCTTGTTTTTTTCAGAAATTAGTTAATTATCTGACATTACAGAAGGTCATAAGACGGGCAAATCAGAATGAATTAGATTCTTTGTGGTCATACCGTTTACCGCTCTTGTTTTTCAGAAATTGGTTAATTTCTTAAAATCTATCTATGTGAATTAAAATATTTCTTCTCTTTTCAACTAAAAACCTGAATATTATTCCATATTTGGATGATTTAATATCTATTATATATATCTTTAGAAAAAAGAATAGAAAAAAAATTAAAAAAATAGAAAAAAGTTATGAACTTAGCAAAAAAAAAAAAAATGGTATCACAAAATTTAGTAGTTAATCACAATCCCTTAATGAAGACTTTTGAAATAGAAATTTAATGAAAGTAAAGTACAATACTGATCAAGATCGAATATATCTTGTTGGGTTTTACAATTTGATGTTTTTATCGATGTCTCCCTACAAACTGTATGTTCATCTCTCCATCCCTGTTTATACAAGGCACAATTATGACTAGTACTAGAAATTATATCAAACTCAAAACATTTCAATTTGTACATTAGAGTTTGAAAGGTTTGACAATGTCATTTGTTTTTATTTGAAATGTTTATGGTAATTTCTAGACAGATCAAAGAAAATCTTAATTGTACATTAATTTTTACATCAAAATTTATGTTAGTTGCCAAAGAAATTTTTTGTATAGCTAATAAATGTTGAAATGTATGAATGATTGCAAAACTGGAATATTTTTTAACAGAACTTTCAAGAACATTGAACATTACCTGCAGGTTATTATATTGAAGGGAAAAATGACAGTACAATGAAAGCAGAGGATATGTTACATGTAATACTGGGAATAAAGAGGGGGAAGAAATTAAGAAAAAAATTATTACAGGTAACTCATGTTCTCTATTATTTTGTTTTAGACACGTTCTGTTTCATTTCCATTTGACTGTGTTGTACATGTGACCAAAAATATCCAGAACTATGTTGGTGTGTTGACTTTTACACAATAAGAATAAAATGTTCAGGACAATCGGAAGTAATGTATTTCTAACAAACTGTTTGAGATTTACCAGATTGTATTGGCTTGTTCTATGAAAATAAATATTTTTCTTTACACATTGTTGAGATTCGAAACTTTTTTAAAACAGAGAAATGTTCGGTTCATTATGTGTGCATTCATCATCTGTATCAGTTTTATTGTGTTGATTTCATTCAAGAGCGATTTAACAAATGTGAAAAGAGATTTTATGAAGAAATTTAACAATTAAAAAGGAATGAATTCAGGAGGAAATGGTAGAATTGTTTCTTCCAAATTATATGATAGTATGTTACATGGACCTAGGCCTACTTTTGAATTCTAAATGTATTCATTTTCAGTTTCTTCAAAATGCATATCTGAGACACTGTGAAGCCTTAAATTGTCAAACTTTGTCATTTCTTGCAAATTAAGGAGGTGACTGGGGTTTAAATTTTGCAATACTCCGCGCATCATAGCAAAATCAAGTGTATTTACAGTTTTAAAGCAACTATTTGCACAATTTATCAAATTTTACAAAAGAAAGTAAACATCAGGCTAAAAAGTCTAACAACAATTTTAAAAAACAGATTTTTAATGATTTTTTAACTGATAGGTTGATTGACATCATAATAGTAAGTTTATGACGCTATATTTAAGAGAAATGTCTTCAAGAGGAGGTCATAAAAATGTTACAAAATGTATGCTCTTGAAATTTTTATCAGATGAATTTTAAAATCGCACAATTATTTTCTGATAATTTTTTCATAAATCTTCATTAGTGTATGTCGTATTTTGTAATACATTGTACTCCACAAAACAGAAAAATTTCGTATTTTCTACCTGTTGAGACAATAGTTTTTGTGTTTCTTACATATACTGTTTAATGTAGTATTACTCATTTATTTTAATTTGACTAAAATGCCTTTTGTAGTATTTGTAAAATTTGCTTTAAAGTGCAAAAAACTGGCACTTTCCTTTAATATTTCCTATAAAAATAGTAAATGTACCTGTATTTGAGATGATCCATTAAATTACTCAGACGATAGATGTTCCTGAAACTTGGCATGTACACTGAAGTCATTGTAAGTTTCCTATGATATAAAATTTAAGAGTTTTTTTGTAGTAGTTTTCTCACATTAAAACCCAAGACGGCTCCCTAAGACTTCAGGGTTAGACATAAAATAGGTCATAGTGACCTACTTATTGAAGTTTTTGGCTGTTCATGTTAAAAACATTTTAGGTAATTGTTTTTGAAACCAAGAGATTTAGGATCATCAAACTTAATTAGTTCAGGCATTTGTTTCTGAATTTTATTGTTTATTACATGTATTTTTACGCTTTTAAGTATTGTAACCTCTACACTGTGACCTGCAGGATCAACCAAGCCTCATTAATTGATGCATCATGGAGTTTGGGATGTATCAATACAAAAGAAGTCCACTGAAAGATATGATAATAATGATAAAATTTAAAAAGTATGTCACTTTGATACTAAGAGGATGCTAACCTTACCAAAACAAGTCAGAGTAGATGCATCTTGGAGCCTTGGGAAATAGTTTCCCGGAATTAGGTCACAGTGACATAGTTTTTGAATTTTGCAGCATTTCGTTTTCATATTGTTTAAAACATTTCAACAAAACATTATAAATATTATTTTTTTATTGGACATTATTGAAACATTTTAAATGAAATAGGAAACATATTCATTTTACTTATTTCAAGGTGTATTTAGTGCCTTTTTCATGATTAAAAAAATAGATGTAGTATATATCCTTAAATTCAAATGCAAAAATATATGTAAGGATTAAAAGTATTACGTGAGAAAATATATCATACAAAAGAAATTTCTATGTTAAGATATTCAATGTATAATGAAGGGATTTTGAACAATTTTGAATCATCTTATACTAGTTAAAAATGCATTGTTAGATAACGATGAAAGTAAAATGAACCAAATTCACATGACAGATAACATGTAAAAAGCCAATCATTTTGCACCTTAAAAGTTTTTGAAGAGTTATCTGCCCTTGATGAGAAGAAGAATATTTTAATTTTTTCAAAACATCTATGGTGAATGATTCATTTTATTTCATATTATAATAAAGAAAAAAAATATGCATATATTCACCAAGAGATTTGTATGAAATTCAAATTACTTTTTACAATATCTTAATACGTGTAACATATGCTCTACCCATAGACTTCAATGTTAACTTCAAGGTACAATTGATAGTACAATAATTAAAATATGGTAAATTCCTTTGGTGGAGTATTTTTGTTTGATAACACCTTCAATATACCATTCATTTATTAGGTACAAAAATGGTCGTTATACATTGAATACCTAAATAAACTTTTTAAAGGTAGCAGGCCCACCATTAATCATAACAGGTAAAGATTCTTAAAATACCTGCCTTGTTTCGTCATCTTTGTCATTCAGAACAATGGATTTGCTTAATTATTTTTTTCAAATCCGAGTATCGTTTGCAAATCCACGGAATATCTCACCTACTGACTTGTGTGCAGTGATGCAAAAGTTGGTTAGGGGAAGACACACTTGTTTATGGCACGCCGATTGCTTCAAAATTATTTTCTGCACGACCTAAAACAAAAATCACACGAGTAAGTAAAAACTTACACAAAGTGAAGAAAATATACACGAAGCTATTGAAATTTACACGAACTATAGAAAAACTACACAATCAACAAAATATTTACACGATATAGTGAGGAAATTACACAAACGTAAAAACGAAAACTGCACGAGTGAGAATACAACATCGGCATAATATGCTACGCATCCTCATTGCGCACATTTCATTAATATTCATTAGAGAACAGTTCAATGTGGTTGGGATGCTTGAAACATACTATAAAATTTTTACAAAAGGAGGAGAAACGAGTTGGTAATCTTTTTAAAAAGATTCTTTTAAAATTCTGCTAGACTCTCAAGAATATATGTACAACGTATATTATACATGTAGATAAATTGACAGGAACACAATCTTAAACTTGTAGTATATGAACAACCTCGAACAAAAAAACATTCTTCACAGAATACTTGTATAGATAACGTAAAAAGGGGGATGCATATTACCAGTTGTGTGTTTAATTGTTGGATTTTTAAAAGTATGTCATTCTTCTATATAGCAATTTCTTTTGAAAGTTTAAAACAATGACATATAGGCCTAAATAAAAACATGTGATAAAATACAGGAGAGTTAACAACAAATCAAACTCTTCTCCTCCACCACCTACTGTGTGTACTTTTGGTAATAATCAAGGATGTGCATGCGTGACCTTTTCATACAGAGATCCTTCCCTGCTGGTTCTGGAACGAAAGACATATGTACGCTAATCGATTTATAGCTATTCGACACACCAATAATACCTTTTGATTAAAGATTATATTACTAGCAATTCATAATTTTTTTTTGAAGCAATGTTGCGATCATCTGGGTTGTGGAATTTGACCGAAAACTTTTTTGGAAGTCAACAGTTAAGAAAATCGAGCAAATATTAATTGTGCAACTTAAATTTTAATATTGAAACGCATATCTCACTTTTTGGTATATGTATGTAACAAAGTACATGTAGTACACGTAGTCTTAACTTTTGAGCAACGTGTGGTGATTTCATAAAAACTCCATGAAAATGTAGAAAAATATACAGTCGTTTTACTTATGTAAATTGAAGTTTAATTTATGTTGGTAAATGTTCGGCGGTAGTCTATTTTGAATAGTTAAAATGCATATAAAGGAGTTAAGAAAATTTAAAAATTATAAAATACAGGCAAGTAGTATCGTTTTTGAAAGCGGGGGAGGGGGGGGGGGAGTCAGATTTTTTTTTTTTTTGACAACCTACCTGAAAAAACAAAATAAGTATTTTCGAAACACATTATAATACCAAAGTACTTTGACTTAAACTATCCTACAACAAAGGGAGGGGGCAACCAGCTTTTCAGTGGAAATTTACAATAGAAGTAGGTTATGTTTGGGAAAAAAGTGGGGGGGGGGGATGCTACGTGCCTGAAATATTTTCTAAGAATTTAAAGGTACATAAAATAGTCTATCGAAATCAGGATTGCAATTCAACTGAACTGTAACGATATTGTAAGTCCAAATTCAAGAAGACATACAAGATGAACTTAATTAGCTGGGACTTGGCTACACATGCACATTTATTTT